ACGTTGAGGTTCCCAATAGTAGTTTGGTAAAATTCTGATTAGTAATTGTGCTGTTTTTTTCCCATGATAAACTAGTACTGTAGATCCAATATGGCGCCGGCATAATACAGGACCACACAAAGAAATCTGATCATTGTTCATAGCAAGGGCTATGGTTACTAGTATAAATTTAGGGATACCCTTAGACCCCATTCATACCAAGGACGTTATATTATCAGAATATTGTTGATCAGAAGTTCCGTGTTCATACAAACTCCTTGTTCACACCAAGCTATACCATAGTATTATTTATATAAAGGACTTAAAAGGTATCCTGCTAGATTTTTTAGTCGGAATTTATGTTAGCTTGGCGTGGCCCAAAAAATCAACCAGACTGTGGCGAGAGCAAGTTTTATCAGACATCGGCCCCCAAACAACATTTATTCTATTCACTGCTGATTCCTCTACCATCCAATCTAGAGGTCTTGTCTTTGTGTTGCGTTGCCTGTTACCAACTGCGTTTTTAGATAGTTATTCAATGTTTAGGTACATTTCAGGAGGGAAAGAAATTAATATTGTTTTCTAAGCAGCATTTTCCCCGCTTTTCTTACACACGGCCTTTGTAAACACACGTGAATATCTCATCAGATCAGATCGCGCACTTGCGAAACGATAAACGTGTATGATGACCCCTCATTGTTTGGCATTACATTTTGTACTTGCGACATGTGACGTGTGCAGGCCCGTATATTACCGTACACACGACTAATTACCAGGTGTCCGGGCGTGTCCGGAGGTATCACAGACCCGCACACGCCGTGGCCGACATTTCCTGCACACACCCGGACACGCCAAGTTTCACGGGACATGTACAGGCCTGGAAACGTCCGGATATTCCGATTTTTGAGCAGTGAAGTCTCCAACGGCAGCTGTCTTCAGCTGGCGGACGAGAGCAGCGCCAGGCGGGCTGGCGAAGTCAAGGCGGACCTTGAGCGTAACCAAGTCATCCGGCAGCTCGCTGCAAGCATCCCAACCGGAACCAGCACTTCTCCCTCGATGTGGATCCGCTGGGGAAGACGGATGCCCAAGTGTGTGGGTCTCAGATTCGCAACCTGTTATCCACCTTAAACAAATCCACGCGAAGGCCGCCGTGTCAACTGACACGGTCATCCTACTCGGAAAATCTGTATATTTGTACATGAATCTGTATCTGTGCATCAATATGTACCTGTACATGAATCTGTATCTGATTGCAAATAAAGATATCGATTGATTGCCATAGATATAGATTTTGATAGTGTTAAAAGGTGTTGGGATTGGATCAATAGTTGCAATATTAAAATAATCATTAGTTAAAATATCAGTATGGCAAATGCTTTGATATAAAAAGTGTATATTTAGATTTTCCCTTTGCACAAAAAGTAAAAACTCTTATTTTTATTGCAGGCTAGGAAGTGTAATCACAGATCAAAACGTTATCGTACAGGGTTATTCGCTCCAAGAGCAAAACCTGTATAACAACATCTCCAAGGCTCTTAGGACAGCTGTGCAGTCTAGTAACTCTCTCGGAGTGGATGAAGACGATTGGACTCTCTTGAGCACATGTATGTGACTGTTCCTGGCAATAATTTATATAAGGAATAGCATGGATGACCTAAACAAATACCCTGAAAAGTATTTTAAAATATGCCAATAATTCCCATCGATTGATGTTTAAATCCATGTCGTGTATTTCGTAGTAAACGTCATTTTCAGTTAAAAAAAGGTAAAACTTTTGATACAACTCAAAGAAATTCTGTGACCTAAAGCTTTCTTCCAGTCACTTTGGTTTTCCTTAGTAGACTGACACTTGGCTTCGTTCAAGTATGACGTTTTAACTTGAAACATTTACCCTTACTGACATAACCGTTCTGCAGACATGTCTCTGCTTGCAACTTCAAATAAATTGCATGCAGACCTATTCTTAGACGAATTCACAAATAACCATTTTTTCATTGAAACATTTAGTTCTAAACCTTGTTGGTCCTCCAGCGATATGCTACAGTGAAACGGTGACTGTGCCTGACCGATTTCTCAATAATGTGACTTTAACATTTCCAACCACTGAGCGAGACAAACACGCCTACTCAACACAACTGTGTGGAAACAACACGAGCAGTGGTAAGAGAATACCAATGAAATGGATGTATCCAAATATTTTAAAAGCTTGCATCGAAATCTCGTACTAGTGTAACGGGATCCGCTCTCCTCTATTATATTAAATTCTTTTTTTTTCAATAGTAAGAGTTCTCATTACTAGTGAAAAAAGAGACAGGTTACCAAGTAACATTTTTACAAGTAAGACATTCCATTTATTCTCTCTCTGGTAAAATGAGGATGTTAACTCATTTTTGCACAAGATAACTTCTTCAAGTAGCCCATGATCTAGGACGTGTTAACCACTTTTTTCACCAGTAAGACGTACAAATAACTATCCTACTAGTGAAAAATGAGTTATCACCCGGGTACCCCCTAGCTCATTTATACAAGAGTATGATAACTTATTGGATTAAAAGTAGAAAAAAAGAACCACTATTCTAGCACCACTTTATGTTCTAATTCGTCTTTTTCCCTCAGATAGTAACTAAAAAAATGTGCTAAATAATCAGGTCTAAATCCTTGACACACTTAACAATAAACGTATTCAATTTCCAGCTGGTATTGCGCTGGCTGTCCGAAGGTGTACCGGGGATGTTCAAACTGGAGTTAGATGGGCAAGCCCAGAACTGTTGAACTGTGGGTTAGACTTGTCTAATCTTGCACAGGTAATACAACTTTATAATATTCAATAGAACATAAATTGTGAAAATAAAATAATATACTTTTGCTTATACTGGTATGCCCTTTAATTTTTTTTCTAAAAGCAAATTTATGAAATCAAAATTCGATCATGATTACGACAATTGAAACGGACTGGATTAATCTTTTAATCATCAGCATTGCCATTATCATTTTTTATTTTTATATATCAATTTTATTGTATGTATCTAACTTTATGTATTTTATCTGTTTATGTATGTATGACACAGGACCCCACTAAAGAACAGTGTTACCACTGAGTAGTGCCTTCGGTAAAAATGGGTAAAAGGGAAAAATTAATAGAATAGAGAACTCTTGACTAAGAATGTGTTCAATCCATTTCCAGATGACTGTAACTACCGACAATGTAGCAGAAGTTGCTGCATATACTCAAATCCTTACATCTATCGGGAGTTCCCTTATGGTAGAAAACATCACAGACGCTTCCACTGTCCTGGAAAACATTGCAGACATTCCCGGAGATGAGAATGTGGGTATTGGAATTTTTTGTTGCGTTTGTTTCTTTTAAGTAAAAATGGAACATGACCTAAGTAGTTGGTTTCTTACATCAGCATGAAAGTTAATCTGATTTGGTAAATTACATTAAGAAAAAATTTTCACTGTTCTCCAACTCACCGGAATTTTCGACTGAATCACCCAGTCTTCCTCAGCTGTCTGACCCAAATGCACTTCCACCATCACTCAATCGGGACGGGGGGTGATATCGACTTCAGACAACCTTTGACCCTTTGCTGACGTCACACGTGGGAAAAATCACGTGTCTACAGCATTTAAGTAAGATAGTTGAGGAAGACTGAGTGATTCAGTCGAAAATTCCGGTGAGTGAAATTTATGAGTTGGAGAACAGTTAAAAATTTTCATAATATAAGTAGTTGGTTTTGACTGTTTTCAAATGCACAGATAACATGCACTATATCTGCTCGAATTTTCAGGTTGGCTATTCTGTGGTCGTGTCAATTGATCAGATAATGAACGCTGATGATGGCGTCCTCTATCAAAGTCAGGTCAAGGACCAGGCTCCTACTAGGTATTCAAATATGCCTCATATCAGATGACAATCAGTGATATGTATATGTGAATCAATAAAAGGCGATGCAATACCAGCTGGAACATGTAACTTTTGGATGCCATCATCGGTCAGCTGCAAAACACGCGATTTTTGAACGTATTGGTTACCATTCATTGCGTTTTAGTAAAAACAAATATATTATACTGGATCTTATAGTTGTTATTAATTATTAATTAATTAAACATGACTTTTATGATTAATAATTAAACATAGTGTAAATGTTTTAAACAGCTTGAAATGGTGCATATAGTATATGGGAAATGATATACATGTATTCTTTATGGGTTATGACGGTACTAAAAGCTTTTAGTCATTAAAAGCCTGTTCCGGAGTAATATGCAAATTATTTATTTATCTTATTTATTTTTGTTAGAATTGTGCAAGCTCTGGAGCAGTTCAACGATCGTGTCAATCTGACAACAAAGCGTTTCCGCCGAATTGAGCAAAACATAGGCGTGGAAACTTACCAGATCGGAGCTGCAGAACTGATCAACAGGTGAAGACACAACTGCAACAACAGAGAAAAAAAAAGAAATTATCTATTATCTATTAGAGTACTACAAAGTTGATGGCAGTTATCATTATTGTATCCGTCCTCCTGTTCCTATACATTTTTCTCTTTACAACATGTTGTAAGGCCACACCAATTTAGGCATAGGTATCCTATTATGCCCAAAATGGTACGATAGGAGCCATGAAGTCAACACACCAGGCTGGTTCAAACTTTAAACAATGTATTTTGAACTTTTAATGATACCACTTCATTGAGAGATGGAATAACTGTAACAACTAGGAAGACAATGGCTGTTTTGAACTGTTCAGGGCAAAATATGAGTATTTTTCAGTTGATTCTGATTTTTTTAATCAGAAAAAAATGAAGTGGGCGAATCCGTTAACCAACAAATTAAATTCATGTGGCCTAAAGGCAGTAAATCAATATACGCTCTATTGTGGGGTCTTATGCATGGCGTAACGACAGCCCGTTTGGCTCGAAACAAAGAGGTCCCGAGTTTGAATGTTACCTTGCTACCGCTCTTGTACCCATGGGAAAAGCACTTTAAACGACTTTACTCACTTTACTTAGGTGTAAAGGAGTTTGTCTATCGTCTAATGCCCGTTCATGCGTTTGTCCTCTGTATTGGTGGTGACATAGCATAAGTTGAAAAAAAAAACTTGAGTGTGTGCCGTCAATGATCTTGCAAAACCGTCTAACATTAGAGACGGGGGCCTTGCTGTTCATCACAGTTAACTGTTTAGATTTGATATGACAATGATATTGGGCCAACGGATGAAGTGTGGCTGAACCCTTCTAAAAATGGCATTTTTATGGGTCTGGGCTATGGGAGAGATCTATATTTTGCTTTGCAGACTGCAGCCTCGATTATGACTCAATTATCATGATGAGCCCACTATCAGTAATTTCGTGCATGTAATAGCTCACACTATGTGTAATTTGGAATCTCTAAAGGGTCTTCTTTTCTTGTCTACAGTATCGGATTTGCATCCCTTGCAAACAGTGAAGGCCTTCAAGACGAATCGGTACGACACTACCCTAACTCAGCATCCACCCCCAATGATGAAGTAGATGCTTCCATTGCCTTGCCTGAAGACCTTGGATCAGTCTTGAAGAAAAATATATCTGGTTGGTTGTTCTTAATAACCTTTTATAATATTTCTGTATTGAATTTGGAAAACGTTTAAAAGCACTGCAAAAGTGCGTGATCCAATGTTTTATCACTTTATTTGACCACATACAGTACGTTCTTTACATGTTCTTTACTTAATTCATTTTATTTAGAAAACCTGGGACGTACAAATGCTGTCAACCATGATATGTCTATCTATTTTTGTCATAATGCTTAAAGGAATTATGTTATTTTCTGTGTTGCATTACAGACGATCCAACCAATGAGGACGTTCGTCTGAGTTTTGTCATTTACCAGAGCAGTCGGCTGTTCCAACCCAATCAAACAGCTTCTTTCTTAGCCGGTTCGAAAACCAGGGTCAACAGCAGAATTATTGCCAGCAGAATAAGTCACTTTGAGTTAAAGAACCTCTCCACCCCTGTAGTGACAAGATACCTTCCCATCGTAAGTAATTCTTCCTCGTTTTTAACTTTTTTTGTAAAGATTGTAGTCAAAGCTTTTATACTTTCAGTGAAAATGACTTTACGGATTTGCTTTTTGAATGCAAAAGGACAGAATCATACTTAACAAAGAAAGTACAAATGAAAAAAAACATAGATGAAATCTAAACAAAAGTAATATTGACACCATTAGACTAATATTTTAAAATACTGTTTATATATTACCATACCCTTGTTGTATCTCACGTTTTAGGCATAAAATCAAAAAGTACAAACTATTATAATTACATTGCGTAGAAACTCTACATTTGATGGTCCTTCTACACCCAACATTTCTGGTTCTACTACTGTTTTGCCTCTATCGTTTTTTAATATTTTGACAGGTTCAGAACAGCACAAACAGCACTGTGACCAACATAAGGTGTGTCTTCTGGGATTTCACAGCTGCAGAGGGCAGAGGAGACTGGTCAACGGAGGGATGCGACTTTGTTAAAATGGACAACAAAAGGATTGTGTGCAATTGCAGCCATCTCACTAATTTCGCTGTCTTGATGGTAAATCAGAAATGCATCATCCATTTACTGCCAAATAGATACACTTAGAAGTATGCAAAAAGGTCATGTTGTTGAGATATGTATTTAGGCCACAGCAAGTAATTTTTATGGATGACATCTACGCGCGCATTGATTTTTGCCTGCTTTTGAAAAAAAAAACAAGAAATTTTGTTGCCTTCTGACAGTGGTGAACATGCCGGAAATGGGCAAAGATATCTGTTGCCATTCCGGAAGGTGGATGGCAGATAACTATGAAGACAGGAGACATGAAAAGGCTCTGGTTTATTGTTATGTTTCTTACTTTGATGCAGTGATAAGTGATGCTGGTTGTGTATATGTGATGTTCCTACTGAATCAAAACCATTTGTACAATGATTGAGTCAAAATTTTAAATTGTACAAACCTTGTTTTTTTTCAGCCCGCCTTGTTTTTTTCGCCCGCTCGCATTAGATTTGGAATCTGCGGAGGATGTCATCCATAAAATTTACTTGCTGTGGCCTTATATAAGATTTCTTATTTTACTGAGTATTCACTTTCAAATTGTTATTGCAAAATCGTTTACACAGTTTATATTATTTGACTTCACATCATCACATTTCAGTCCTTACACATCGTACGTTACTCATAATAATCCGTCATTATCTCTATGCATTTTAAATGTAAGCATCACACATCTGAGATCATTTAACATCCTTGTAGATAATATTTATTATTTCTTGATATTTCAAAACATCACTAGTGACAATGTGACTTCCTAAATATATCTGCCGTTTGCTAAGGAAATATTTCTTTTTTTCTTTAGGATATATACGGACCGTGGCACAGCTTTACACTGGATATAATCAGTAAAATTGGGATTGCTTTGTCCACAACAGGCCTCGCCTTCACACTCATCAGCTACCTGGTGTTCAAGTAAGTTTGCTAGACTTAAGTCTCTCAGTACGGTCATGCAAACAGATATGGCGTTGGGTGGTGTAGTGGTTAGAGCAATCGACTATGAACCGGGGAGACCCGGGTTCGATTCCGAGTCGTGCCCGGAACATGTCTGAACATGCGCCCCGACGTTGTGCCCTTGGGAAAGGCACTTTACACGACTTTCCTCACTCCACCCAGGTGTGAATGGGTACCTAACTTCGGTTGGGGAAAGTCGTATTGAGGTCACCTTGTAGCGCCGAATGGCAGCCGCACAGACCCTTGCGACAGTTCCACAAAAAATAATTGTGGAAAAATATATGTGTATCATTTGTATTATTTGATTGTTGTAATTGTTGTGATTTGTATTGACTATTATGTGATACCCTGCATCAATTCAGCCGTATAAGGCTGCGACTGCACGGGTACTGTTTGGACAATAAAAAAAACATTTAAAAAAATATCTTTGCTGGCACATTTGGATATTAGGGTATGGTATACAGATTTATTAATAATATACTGAAAGCAATGCTGCTGAAACTGATTTGTTTTTCTAAAGTATCAAGATATCAATGCTTAGTAACAGCATTGTAATTATACGACTGGTAGCCTCTTGTGATGAAATGGTATCCGTTGTAGTAAGCATTCGAGTGCACATCGCTCTAAGATTTTTCTAGTACGATTTCTAAACACCTTATCCTGTAACGGTAAATGAACAGTCACAACACTAAAACTTTACACAGAAAAGGGATTAAAAACTATCTTTAGGCCAGAGCTTAAGTTTGCACTGCAGGAGTTACGAGGCAGTGCGACGTTACCAACTGTGTTTTTTATGCCTTAAGTTTAAACTGTAATTTCTAAAAAGAATTGGACTTTCTGGAACACATCCAGTCTTTGTGAAGGAATGGGCAATCCATTGCTTTCGTGACGTCACGTTATGCAGATGACACACGAGAGAAGTAGATCGTAAGTTGCAGAAAGTCTGTGCCGCCCCCCGTCTTTGTTCAGGGAAGGTGTAGTGTCTGGATCTAGATGACCTCTTTAATCCATCGTGCACACTGCTATCATAGTAACTTGTGTCATCTGCATAATTTGACGTCACGGAAGTGGTGGACTGTGAGTTGTACAGTCGAAAATTTGGATAAGTCTGATTCTTTGTGTTAGAAAGTACAGTTTGAACTTAAGGCATACTAAAGTCTATCAACAAAGATGAACTTTCAAGATAACTGAGTATGTGCTTTCTGCAGGCAACTTCGTCAGACAAGGCCACAGCACATCCTTATGAATCTTTGCATCGCCTTGTTGGCAACTCTGATTATCTTCCTGGCAGGCATCGATGCTACAAACTCCCCGGTTGGCTGCACTACCGTGGCCTTTTTACTACACTACTTCCTATTGGCCGTGTTTATGTGGATGGCTGTTGAAGCCTTCAACATGTACCTTGCCTTCGTGAAGGTCTTGGGGGCACATGTTTCTAGATTTCTCCTTAAGGCGGCTATCTTTGCATGGGGTAAGTAAAACAGCGAGCAGATTATTATTGGAATGAGCAGAGCACTTTGGACTAATGCCTCTGACTATTTACAGCGTAGAGGTACATATCCAATCTTTTGACAAAAACTTCTCTGTTACATAGCGGATCATAATGACCCCCAGCGGGTCTCAAGATCTTTCCAAATGTTTTCAACGCATCTTGAGATTTTTCCATAGCATCTCGATATGCTTTAAAAAATATCAAGATTGTTTAAAAGATCTCAGGTTTTTTCAATATTGCTTTTAAAATCTTGATATTTTTTAAAGCATCTCGAGATGCTATGGAAAAATCTTAAGATGCTTTGAAAACATTTGGAAAGATCTTGAGACCTTTTGTTTTCATCTCAAGATTTTCTGAAAGATCTGGAGATTGTCATGAAAAATCTCAAGATTGTCTCATTAGATCTCAAGATTTTGGCAAAAATATTGAGATTTCTCAATTTTTAACGAAGCGTGAAGACCCCCACTGGGGGTCATTATGATCCGCTATGTAACAGAGACAAAAGATTGGATATGTACCTCTACGCTGTAAATAGTCAGAGGCATTAGTCCAAAGTGCTCTGCTCATTCCAATAATAATCTGCTCGCTGTTGTAAGTAAATCAATTCTGTTACAAGCATCTTTCAGAGACAGCTAACTAACCAATGACTCCGTAGACTACTAAATGTCTGATTCTCTTGACAGATTGCTCTGTTGAACACATTATGTCAACATATCGTTCTGATTCCTAAAATTTCTACCAATTTCCGTTTATGCTCTAAACCATAGAGTGAAATATCACAACTTATTGTGATACAAGAAAGGGAATCACATTATCTTATTACAGAATTATAATTGTCAGCCCATCCATGTTAACATAATCCATATAAATTCAAACATAGAATTTCAACTTATGATCTCATGTAGTATAGGTAATACATTTCTATTGTGGTGATTTTAAATAACTGCTCATTTACAAATACTTGCAATGTATATCCTGTATACCTTTAACTTGCAATGGTCTGTGTAATTTAGCAAAATGGTCATGATTATTAAAGCGTGAATGAATATAATTATCAAGACTCACACTTGACTTCTTTACACACGTAATCATTCCTTGGGTAACCATATAACTTATAAATATTATCTTCTGTAGCAAACTCCTACAGAACTTGTTTAAAATAATGTAACAAAACAAAGAGAATTACATGATACATGCCATTTAATTTTTTTAAATATTGAGCAAAGATGTGTTCTGTTGAAATAAAAAAAAGGAAAAATGTGTGCAACCATATATTCTATGTGTTCTATACTTGAAGTATAATAAAACTATAAGTAATATCAAAAGTGGTAGTCAAAATATGATACTTTAAGTAGTACAGTTTGCTTGTACTTATGCCAACGTACATTTTTGGGTTGTTTCAGGTCTTCCCTTTATTGTTGCCACCATCACCCTTGCTGTGGATGTACCCAGCACATATCCTGATGGAAAGGAGACCTACAGGAGCACCAGTGTGTAAGTTATAATGTATTAAATCGACCATAGTCAAAACATTAGTAAAAAAATAAGTGGGATTAAATCTTTATCTTTTAGAGGTAGAATGTGACTGGTGTCTGGAATTTACAAACGGATCAGTATCGCAGAAGCCCTTGGGAGGGGAACTGAGTAGCAATGGTGGAAAAATGCCTGGCAGTTGTTTTTGTTAATTAGCACTACCGGGCGAAATCGCCAACTCCGCCCCAACTTCTGTGGCCTGGCGCCGGGAACCACGTGGACCCGGGCTAGCCGGCTCCCCGCTCACATTCGCCCAGCCCGGGGCATTGTGAGCGGACGTCTCTGGTTCTCTTCCCACCACCACCCTCCTCGCCACCGTATTCTTTTCTAGTTTCTTACTTTTACTAAGTCAAGTTTAGGGTAAGACAATACATTTTGTTGTATTTTTTTTTTCTTCGAAATCTTTATTCATTGAGAGGCCTGTATCTCTTCTGAAAAAGCCCGCCAAATGATTAAACTTTTCCCTTTGTCGGCCAAACTGCGTGTCTCTGTCCTTTGTCTTGGTTGGTGATAATTATCTTTCACGAAGGTATAGCTGCTTTAACCACTCGTGCACTAAAATCATAAACAACGTAAGATCACCTAAGAAGACGCATATTTCCAATCTTGCTATCCTAACCATAAACAGAGAAAAAATTTCCTTCCAACACTTTGTGTTGTTATACTTTTTAATGTCTGAAACAAAGGGGGAGACGTTGCGATAATTGTCTCAATCCCTCTTGTTACAGCTTGTTATCAAGGACCAAAGCACCGTGTATAGTCGAATTAATTTTGTTGTTGTTGTCTAGTTGCTGGCTACAAGGTAACCAGTTGTACTATGGGTTCCTGTTGCCTGTGGGACTGGTGCTACTGTTCAATACCGTTGTGTATATCATGGTCATCACCAAGCTGACTTGCGGAGGAAGGACCAAAGGTAAGTTCTGAGAATCTGTTATTATTTCGGTTTCAAGGGCTGTGTGTGTGTGTGTGTCTGTGTGTGTATGTTTGTGTGTGTGTTTGTATGTATGTACTATGTATGTGCTCATTTGTGTTAGTATGTGTGTGAGTTTGTATGTTTATGTGTGTGTGCGTTTCTATGTTTAGTGTGTGTGTACAAGTGTGTGTGTGTGTGTGTGTGTGTGTGTGTGTGTGTGTGTGTGTGTGTGTGTGTGTGTGCAAGTGTGTGTGCAAGTGTGTGTGCAATTGTGAATGTGCAGTTGTGTGTTGATTTTATGTGTTTACGATAACTCAAGGACATGTTAGTGGGATGCGATATTTAATGTGCTGGTAGCTGTCGGCAAAATGAATGTCCTTTTTAATTATGTGCTTTATATCTCAAGATTGCATGGTCAACAATCCAGTAGATAGTCGTTAGGATGACATAATACACGTTCACCTTCCTAGCTAATTTTTAAGAACTGCATGGCCGTATTTCTTATCTCTTCTTTTCTCGTCCCTTCCCGTTTCTCACATTCCAACAGATACAAGAAAAATAACAGAAAATTGACTCAAACATAAATACAATGCCACCAGTATAAAGTGCAACACATTTTGTAATTACATTAACATGCGATTTCTTGTTTCTCTTTCAACATATTTTGCAACCCAATATTCGTATTGTCCAATGAAATTCATCCTACTTTATACGACGTATAGATATTGCAGTACTTATCGAAGTGAAACATTTCTATAGGGAAAGTTGATGATAATAACAGCGGAGGAACAAAGCAGCAGCTGCGCATCGCCATTGCTGTCATGGTGCTGGTCGGACTCACCTGGATATTTGGATTCTTCATGATTAGGTACACTACCATTTTTTTTCTTATTTTCTTATGTTGAAAACTATTTTTTTGCGGGGGGGATTTTCTAGAAACATTCTTCAAATATATTGTATATTGATTCTTACACAAAGATTTGTTTTCTTTTTTCTTAAGAAAAGAAAATATTTCTACTATCATGCTCACCAACAAAAATCTTTAGAATTTTTGAATTTTAGGAAAGTTTACGTTTTTTTTCTCCTACAAGAAACCTTTTCTTGTGTACAGAATGGTTTTCTTGCTCTTAGTTCAAGAAATATTTTCTTGTGGGCAGAATCATTTTCTTGCTACAGCAACAGTGTTTCTTGAAATGTTCTTGCTTCGGGGATTCTCAAATTTCTTGTTCAAAGAATAATTTTCTTGCTACAAGATATATTTTCTTTGTTTAAGGAAAAAAAGAAAAAAAAAACATTTTTGGTATTGTAGGGCCTAGGAAAAATGGCGTGTTTCCTGTTTCCCAGCCTAACCTAAACAATTTGATTTGCAAAGCTTTGATTTGTTGAACTGTATTGTATAATTTGGATAAATAGAGATCGCGAAAGTCGAAAGAAAAGAAAACACTCAGATAAAGGGAATGTTGTATAAGTTGTCGGTTTCCAGTAACAACTCAGCAGGTTATCAATGCGATTTACCAATGATAAACACAGCATTATAGCATATGGAATGTATGAGGTGCTGCAATCTGTTAAATATGAATTTCATTCTTCATTCTTGTAGCATGATTCTTGTATCGCAGCCTCGTATCAGATCATGCCGAGATGAAATACAAACATATGCTGCAGACATTATGTATTCTGAATGTGTATGTTATCATAGTATTAAATGCATGACGTGTAGACTGCAGTATGACTCAATTTTTTTTGTCAGACGCCACATGGGGTTACCCCCCCCCCCAAAAAAAAGGTCATCTTCGAAGAGCAAATGACTTTCCAGCTTATTAATGTCCATATTTTTTTCATCCTGTACCTATCTATAACGATGATCAATACCGCTGAATAATTAATACATT